TTTTTGGCTAATCTTCTTTTACAGGTGCAAATGATTGTGGCTATTGTACTTATGGCAGTTAGAATTGTGATTACTAATTCAATTAGCATGTTTACGGCTTCTGTATCAGTGAAGTGGTTTGTGCTTGGTTGTGCAGTGATTTTTGCAGAATTTGTTACAGTTATTGTTGATGGAGTTATTGTCGGTGTTGTGGTTACAGTTATTACAGGTATTGTTACGTTGATTTGTTGAGCTTTGAGGATTTGTATTATTATTAATAGTAAAATGGTTATTTGGAGTATTGTCTTCATTGAGTCGTGATTATGCTTTGTAATCTCGATTTGTAATTATTTATTGTTGTTTATCGCTTACATCAATAGTTCAGTCCGTAGTGTTTGGTGGTTCCAATGTGGTTGTCTTCTAGGGTCGCTATTCCTATAGTTTCAACTGTTAAGGTTTCGTGTTAGCCTTTTCAGCCTTACTTTTCACTTTGGTATCAGATTTGATTATTCGTATCTATCCGGTAGATTTGAAGTTATCTTACTATGGTTTCAAGAGTTGATTAAGCTCTGTCTGATCTATGCATTTCGCTCTGTCCTAATAGTATAGTTTATTTTAATAGTTATTTGGTTTGTTTCTAGTTGGCACAATTATATTTCTTTTACTTCTTTCTTTATTACGGATTTAATATGTTGCAAGTGGAATGGTGTTCTTGTTTTGGCGTAGGTTGGCTAGTCCTACATATTTGCAGAGTTGGATAAGTTCTCTGAGGTTTTACTTGGTTATTATACTTCTTGCCGTCTTTAAGACTCAGTATCTATGCTGTTGTGGGTGTCAACAGTCTTTAGTTATGGGTTTTTCTTTATAGGATTGTTTTTTAGTTAGGTATCGAAGGAATTTATTGGTATAAAAGGATTATTATATTGCACGATTAAAATTTAAACTTTAAAAGATCAGTTTATTAAATGTTTGAACTGTTAATGTTTCTTGATTATTACATAAAGGTATTTATATTATTTGATAATAATATGTGTTATGTATAATTGTTAAGTATTGTTCTTGCGCATGTTGGGCGTCAAGAGTTACTATTGTTCATTAATTTACGAGTTTGAGTGCCATCATAATAAGTTGTTTGAGTTATGGCCTTGTTGGGTACTAATGGTGAGTTAGCTTTTTAACTTTTTTGTTAAAGGGTTATTGCCATGTTGGACGTAAGGCGTCAATGGCCTAGGTTTTTCCTATTCTAGGGGTTTATCTAGAATCGTTATTTAGCTGCTAATCAGCTTTTTGTTAAGGGGTGAGCGTGTCTTAACACTTTAACATGTTAACACATCTCTGGTGTTTTTGAGTATGTTACGGTATCTTAACACGTCTAAAGATAAAAGGTGAAAAGCTTGTTCTTTTATACATTCAAGAAGGCTATTCTACTGAAAATATGTTGCTATTTTTCTATTTATATCACTAGACTATTTATAAGTTGAAAATATTGTAACTATGACTATGGAAGATATGATGCTAAGATATTATATGAGTTGGTAGCTGCTAATTCGCGTGTGAGATTGCCGATTTTGGTAAATCGCTTATTGTTACCCATTATGTGGGACAGGTATGATAGGACGGGTTGCCGGTCGTGTTTCCCTGTACATCGGAGGCGGTCAAATATTTATAGATTAAGTAAACCGCCCCTTAAAAACAAATATGTATATCGTACAACATTGGTATGTATAAAAATGCTATGTATGTAAGTGGTTTCCTCAAAAAAAAATAAAAATAAAAATAAAATAAAAATGTCAACTTTTTCCAAAGCTAATTTTAACAGTAAAAATTATATCTCTTATCGCCCTACGTACGTGCGTGAGTTTTTTTTAATACAAGTGATATAAAAAGTGATATAAAAAAAATTATAAAAAAATTTATAACCTATATCTGATATATATATATATATTAATTAATTAATATTATGATTATTTTAGTTATACGCAAAGATTATTTGAAAAAATTTATAATTATCATAAATCAAATAATGGAACATTTAATATTGCATTAGATGTAGGAACTGGTACAGGACAAGCAGCCAATATTTTATCAAATTCATTTAAAAAAGTTTATGGAATTGATTTATCATCAATAATGTTACAAAATGCAATTTATAAATCAAATATTCAATATTTAATTGGAAAAGCTGAAGATTTATCATATTTTAAAGATTCTTCAATTGATTTATTAACAGTAGCTGTAATAACTATAACTGCAACACCTACAATAACTCCACCAACAATAACTGTAATGAATTCTGCAACAATTACTGCACAACCAAGTACAAATTACTTCACTGATACAGAAGCCATAAACACGCTAATTGCATTAGTAATCACAATTCTAACTGCTATAAATACAATAGCTACAATCATTTGCACCTGTAAAAGAAGATTAGCCAAAAAGACTCAACAAGTACAACATTTAAACAATCAACTGATATAACCCCCTGGATATCAACAACAAAATCTCTTTGCATAAAAATAGCCTCTAGAAACTATAAATAGTTGCTTGACAAGAACAGAAATTCTTATTCAATAAATAACAAATTACTGAAATAGACAAAATGATACTTACAATAGATGCTTACCAAACAAGGAATAATTATATCAACAATAACTTTAATACTCACAATAGGACTAACAATCACATTATTAAAAGTACTATACAACATACAAATTATTATAATTCTTACTATATTTGAAAAAACATCACAAAATTTTTTAAGTAGATTTATAGTGATATATAACACATAATCGATTTACATCGATTAAAATTAAACATTACACATCAATTAACTTGTTATAAATTGATATATATCAAAAATCGATTATTAACGATAATTGAAATGAAATCAATGTAGATCAAATTATCAATTATCATCAAACTAACCAAAATCGCAATATATCGATTATTATATTATTAATCGATAATTAGTATTACGTTATACTTTAGTTAGATATACATAGAACTTCAATAGATGTACGCTTTAAATATTAAATATATACTTTAAATATTAGATATACACTTTAAATATTAGAACATAAACTGTTTACTAAATATTCATTTATTTTTTCAAATCTTACAACTATATGTACGGTTCTATCCATACTATCTAAAGGTATACAACTGTATTGTTTAATTAATTTTAATTTCGGACAT